GCTGCCGCCTGCCTTCCCCGCCGTTCCCATGGCACTTGGCTGTCACACACACACACATCCCAGGCATTCCCTGCCCACAGCGGGATTAAAGCCTTCTGGGAGAGGAATGAGAGGATGCAGGGAACGGAGATAGGGAAAGGAATGGAGGGGTAGGGATGAAGCCAGGAGCCGGCCCCATTGGAGCAGCAAGGGCCGTGTAGGATCTGAGGCAGGGAGAAGTGCAGCCATTGCCCTCAGCCCGTGCAGGTGGCATGCCTGGGAGCACAGGCCCTTCCTGAGGGCTGGAGCCGCCGGTCCGTGCACACAGAAGCTCCTGTCCCACCGCTGTCACACCTCCCAAACCCACCCTGGGCGTGAGAGTGCGGATTTCCCTCTGGGTGATTGCAGCTGTGTGTTTTTTCCCCCCTGCAGACCCTGACAGCCAGCTGTATGATATGGGATATACCCCCGAGGAGGAAGCCCCGGCCTGCCCCGATGAGTTTGATGATTTCGTCACGTTTGAGGCAAGTATGAGCTCTGTTTGTTCCCATAAGCGTTGGTTGCACGTGGAGTGGGATTTGGGCATGGAGGCTGTGCCTGGGGACAAGGGAGTGTGCTGTGACAGGGCTCAGGGATGCTGAACATGTGAACACAAATCTGGGTGACGGGCCCAGAGAAGCTGCACCAAGCATTTGGTGCTGTTTAAGTTAAAATTGGTGTTGATGATACTGAAAGAGCAGAGCATGGTGCTCTGGGTGGAAAGGGAGCTCCTTTCTGTGATGAAACATTGGTAACACTGGAAGGGGTCCTGCTGCTCTTGGATTTGTCTTCCTGCTGGAGTTTCTGAGGTTCTAAAACCTGAGCTTGGCTTTGAGATGTACCAGCCAGGATCCTGCCTGAGAGGCACAGCAGAGCAGTGGGATGCTGACATTTGGTGCTGTTTGACCAGTAAAAGGCAGAGCCAAGGACAAAAATCTACATTTTCTCTCTGTTCTTGGGCTTGATGAAGGCTGTTTCTCTGATTTGGGTTATTTTCCTCTAGTTAAATTCTCCATGCCTTGGTTCCCTCTTGCATTCCTTACCACAGGAGCACGTTGCAGCAGCGATCCTGCTGTTCCCAGCTGGAAAGGACAGACCTCTTGTCTGTGCCTGGGGGCTTTGGGCTTGGCTTGGAAGGCTTCAGCCATTCCTGCTCTGTGCCTTCCAGCCTGGAGCAGGAGGTGCTGCAGGAGCCTTGGGAGCAAAGGGATGGCTGGGTCCCTGTCCCACGTGGGGACTGAATCACTCCCCTCTGCTTTTTCTTTTCCAAACTTGCCTCTTCAGGGGTGTGACACCTGTGTCATGGTAGCCTGGATGTTTTTGGGGCTGTCCTGTGCAGGACCAGGAGCTGGGCTCTGATCCTTGTGGGTCCCTTTCCTCTCAGGATATTTTATGATTGTTTGTGATTTTTATCACACTATTTGTTGCTGGTAATGAGACTCCTGACCTACTTTGTATTTGCATGCAAATATATTTATTTATATTTGTATTTTTGCTTGGTGTAGTCTGTAGTACATAATTTTGGACTTGTGATTTCTGATAGCTTGGGTGTTGGGCAGCTGGTCCTAAAATCATGGAATGATTTGGGTTGAAGGGACCTTAAAGATCATCCAGTGCCACCCCCTACAATGGGCAGGGACACCTCCCACTGTCCCAGGCTGCTCCAAGCCCTGTCCAGCCTGGCCTTGGGCACTGCCAGGGATCCAGGGGCAGCCACAGCTTCTCCAAGCAAGGCTGAATACTGGTTTATTTTTTTTTTTTTTGAATGGTAGTTCCAAGCCCCAGGAACAGCTGAGGAGAGAAGTGGGACAGGAGGGCAGGCAGGGAGATGGATTTCCATGGTTTTTAGGTGGTGCAGGGTCACAAATGTGCATTTTAATGCTGGACTCAGCAGTGTGGAGGCTGTGACAGGAAAAGGCTTTCACTTTTTGCTCCTCAGACCTGTGTCAAGGGACCATCTTGCCTGAATTTCCAAGCAGGGATGTTTTCCAAGGGCTAATTTCACATAGATGAGCTCTGTCAGCACTGGGAGCTATTCTGAGCAGCAATACCAACAGGCAGGTGTGTGCCCCACTGGGATGAAATACTTCTGCTGCTGGGCCAGCCTTTCCTTGTAAAGACAAGGTGACCCAAAGGAAAAAGGTGATGAGTCCTGAAATCTCCTTTTCCAAAAGATCTGAGTGGATTTTTCTACTGAATTCACATCTAAGGGACAGCTCTACGTTTAACATGCCGGGGAAGAATTATCCTTGTTGTCTTGGATACGTGATTTGAAATCATTTCCAGCCTGCCAGGATTTTGTAGAGGTTCAGCAAATGAGAACATGCTCAAGAAATACCACTGAGCCTTGGGAGTGTAAAAATAAACTGGAGTCTTGGGGAGAGGGGGTTTTGTTCTCTTCTGCCTGAGCCGTGAGCTCCCAGCGTGCCTTTTATCCCACATGTCCTGCAGTGCTGTGCTTGGAAAGCTGGAGCTGGCCCAGGGAGGGAGAAGCTGTGGCACAAAGCATCCTGCTGGGAGCAGCAAAGGTGTGTTCCTCGTGGGAGCACTGGGAAAAGAGCTGGAGAGGGCTCCAGCATTCCCTTCTTCCTTAGGGGCAGCAGGGAATCAGCCAGGCAGAGAACAGAATAAAGAGCTGTTCCCAATACCTGTAGTCCCTCTTGCTTGGATTCTCCAGAAGAGATGAGGGGCAGAAAAATCACCTTTCAAAGTGAAACCATCACTTTTCTCAGAGTGAAATTCTCACTGCAGCAAGCAGCAGTTTGGGCTCTGGGGTATCCCTGTGTCAGCCCTGGGAAGGTGCTGCACTGGGACACTCAGCTAAACACACCCCAAAACACACCTGGGACACCTCAGGCACTGCCTGAGCCCCTCTGGCTGTGGCAGGGCCGTGGGGGGAAGTGGCACAGCTGGGATTTCTCCTCCCCTGTCACATCAGAGCTGAAGGAATTGCTGCATTTGTGGTTCTTGAGTGGAGCACTGGCTGTGGTCCCTCTGAAACAGCCCAGAATCCCAGTGGCTGGAGTGCTCAGCCCTTCCAAGGGCTGGGGTCTGACAGGAGCTTTTCTCCTCAGTGTTTGCTCAAACAAGTGTAAACAAGTGCTTTGAGCAGTCTCCAGGAAAATGTCTTCTCTTTGTTAATGAGGTTGCTCTGCTTGATGAGTCATGTCCTCTTCTGGTGACTGTCACCAGGAGAGCTCAGCACCCATGGAAAGCCCTGAGAGCCCAGAGCTGGGGACTCTGACCTGGTGTTTGCTCTCCAGAGAGAGCCACCACCACCTGCTTCCTGCAGGAGAAGGCTTTGGAAGGGGACAAGGTGTGAACTCAGGAATTTGT